ATATAATTATAATAGTAAATGAATAAGTTACAATATTTTTTTTTTGACACAGAAACTAGTAATACAATTACAATCATAAATGAATAAAACACATTTGCGCTCCTTCCAAAAGAGCTATTGGTGTCGGTGTTTCATTTGGTAAATCTCCCACCTCCAACTATATGCATCTTTATTCATTGTATCTGCAAAAATGTTAACGAAACAATTATGTATAATTATATAGTCATTCACACATAAATACACTGATATTCACAAATGAATACACTGTTATTCATAAATAAATTCAAAATAAAAATAGTGTAAAAATTATCATTTCTTCATAAAATGAATACCCCTAATCATAAATAAATACACTTATTGATCACACATGAATACCCTGATATTCATAAATAAATGCAGTCATTCAAACATAAATTCACACATAAATATACTTATATTCACAAATGAATATAAGAAAATAGTTGTTGTCATTTCGTTTCAGCCCTCAATTCATCTCTTTTCTCATTCATTTTTGTTAAGTATTACCACACCAAAAATACCCTTTTAATGCTTAATTTGTTGGTGAAATCAAAGACCAAGAACAACTACAAAAAATTATCTTTCTAGTCATCGTTAGTTGTTGAATTTCGAGTAAATCAAGACCCAAGAAACCTCCATTGAACCCACTTTTTGCTGTTGAAATTGATGAACTGATTTCTGCTCCTTTTTTCCCTTTCTTCTTCTTCGTTCCCTGCCAAGAATAACCACCGGGATGGGGTTGTGTTTCTGGTGAAATCAAAAGAGGCAGCAGCCCCTTGGCTTTTTCCCCTAACTTGCATTGTTGTGGCTGCTTGCCTTGCTCTTCTCGGACCAGCCTCATGGAGTATTCATTGATGATTAACTGCAAATGATACATATGACATTGTATTCATATAAGATTACAACTGAATATTTATGGATAGATTCACATAGCCTGCACAAATAGATTCCATGTATAGATTCGAACATTATATAGCATTATAAGGCTCAAATCAAGAGAAGAGGTGGATTTCGAACAACATTTGCAAGGAAAAAACATAATGTTACCTGATTCAGAGTACTTTGTCGCTACCGTGCTGCTCCGGAATGGAGGATCGAAGTCTGGTAGTGTACCGCTGCTTGCCACCGCCGATGAGTAGCGACGATGACGATGAAGAACGAAAGTCGTCGCTGGGGTCTGCCACTGTTCGCTGCCTTGCGCTGGTGAGTAGATGTTGTCGTCCGTCGGTGAGTAGAAGTTGTCGTCCGCCGGTGAGTAGAAGTCGTCAAGCCGATGGGATCTTCGGCGATGGAAGCGACGATGCGTATAAAGGGGAAATGGGGATTGAATGCCGGTTGTTCAGTCGATGCGTCTTATGAAACCCTAGAGAGAGATACAGAGAGGATATAGATACGAGAATTAGAAAGGTAAGAGGTGAGAGAGAGGTGAGAGGGTGAGAAATTATAGGAAATAGGTAAAGTTGCAATTCCTATAATACCCTTCTGACCATTTAAAAGTTACACTCAAATGCCAGTAGTTTTAGTGTTTTTCATAAATCGTCCGTTTTATATTAACCATAGATCTTAGTATTTAGATGGTCCAGATCTGTTCTCGTGTTCTCAACCTTTTAGGTGTTCTCATTCGATCCTACTCCTATATATATATATAATATATATATATATATATATATATATATATATATATATATATATATATATATATATAGTACTTGAAGTTTCTAAGGATATTAATGAGATTCTTCCTTTTTATGACCTTTTATTATACCATTAAAGTCAAAATTTACATTTTAATTATATATTTTTCGGACCCAGTGAAGCGGTTATCCGGTTACTTGGGGTGGCGTGGACATTGACTAATGTTTGACTCTTGTTAATTACATGTAATCAATCACGTGGGCATAGACTGACCCATCACCATTCCTACCTCCCACTACCGTCCACCAGCAACAGAATAACTCAACTCTAAAAGTAGTCATGGACCCATCGGAGTTACCCAAATTCCCACTCTGCTTCCCGCCCTTCGGCAACGAATACACAATCCCACGTGTCCTCACATATGGCCACTCTACATGCAAGACATGTCTGATCGACCTTCCAAATCCACCCTTCCCTTGTACCATACATTATCCGGCTTATACCCAACTTGTCAACTACCAAAAGGTCCTTCAGCCATCGCCACCATATCATCATCGCTAGACTTTATATCTAATTTTTGGTCTCATGAATTTTTATATAACTGCAAGTAATGGGTCATTCCACGAGACACAGTTTTGGTCGAGGTGAGTGTAGTTCTTGATGAGTCTTTTTTGCTTGGAAGGGTTATATATTCGGATGCTTCTTTTGGGTCGTCTTTCAGGTGTTCAATGAAAATACATAAAAAGGTTAGTTTTTTTTAAATTTGCTTCTTTTACTCATAGTAATGAGATCCGACTCCACAACAATTAACCTTGCCAAAGTGATCTGGATTTTGTTTAAAATGGGGATGGTGCATTAGTTGAATTGATGTCGATTCTAACTTCCAGTTTGAAGGAATATCAAATTTTTACTCCTTATGGGTTGTGACTTGTGGTATAACGAGGAGAATGGGCATTTATATCTTGTTTATGAATGGAAACATAAGACTTTGTTGAATGTTATTGAATTAGATATCCAAGATGATATATCTAGTTTCAATATGATTGGTATGGAGCTATGTGAAACCATAAGCCTATTGCATGAAGCCAATTTAGTAAATGGATGTACTTCATTATCATGATTTGGTATTGATGATTTTTGCCACCTGTTTATCCAAAACAAGTCTGGCATCAATATCAGGGAGTCTGGGAATGAGCGCCACCACGTTTTGAGGCTATTCCATACTTCACAAGAGATTGTGCATTTGAGAAAAATATATTCTTCTAGTTTCTGGTTCTTGCCTACATAATATGCACATAGGATTAGTTCCAATTCCTCTATTCATGAGGTTCACTTTTGTTCGGATCCAGCCATGTGCCACTTTCCAAGCCACTATATTGACCTTTTTATGGACTAGATTGTTCCAGTCCTAGTCTACTCTCGATTTGGGCAAGGACAATTCGTCAATCAAATTCCTTAAGTAAGAGACCGAGTATATCCTGATTGTTCCAACTTCCAGGTCCAGTTTGATTGCCGATTAGATTGTGCTACTGTGAAGAGGTCTTTGAAGTCGATATTTTCTTTTGCTAGAGTTGCTGGCAGGTTTGCAATATTACCCCAACAACTCTTTTTTCCCTGGAAGGTGCGTTAAAACCCCCATCCTGACCATAGATTGCAACGGTGATACTCTTCCATAGTTCTTGTTTGTGTTCTTTGAATCAACACCACCACTTCCGTAACAACGCAAAGTTATGAGCTTTGAGACTACCGATACTTAGACCTCCATTTTCTTGTTTCAAGAGTATCTTTCCCCAGCCAATCCATGATTTTTATTTTTCTGTCGAGCCGCCCAAAAGAATCGCCTTCTCAATTTTTCAAGAATGTTGATAACTTTAATTGGCACCTCATATAGTAAAAAAAAAAAAAAAAAGGAATGTACCAAGGCTGCCCAACGCCGATTTGAATAATGTTAAGGGATAATGACATAAAAAGTCTTAAGTTTGGAAGTAATGTATGGATTTACCATTTTGTGGATTTTAGGTTCACTAATACCGGATACTTGCAGTTTTTTTTTTTTTTTTTCAATTTTACCATTTTGTGTCTTTTTGGTTTATTGAAACCCTTACGTGTGGCATAAATGTATGAATTTACCTCTTTTCAGGTTCATAAAGCCCTTAAGTTTGGGTTTTTTTGGTTCATAAAGCCCTTAAGTTTGGGTTTTTTTTGGTTCATTAAAGCCCTTAAATTTGGCAGAAATATTCGGTATTATGGGGTAAATCGAAGAAAATGGTAAAATCAGAAAAAAAAAAAAAAAAAAGGTGCAAGTATCCCGTATTAATGAGCCTAAAATCCACAAAAAGGTAAGTTCGTACGTTCTTCCAAACTTAATGGCCTTTATGTCATTATCCCTAGTGATAATCTACCACTAAAGGAGATCGTAGAGGCCTTCCACTTCGATAATTTAGCTTGAAATTTGGCAATCAGGTGCCTCCACTCACTCCACTGGGATATTCTTGAGATTGTAGCACCACAGGCCCAAGTAGATGAATGGTAAGTTACCGATAGAGCATTAGATGCGTTTGGCCAACAACTCAATTTCGAGATGATTTATACCTAAACCGTAGAGCTTTCTTTTTGATATATTTACCTTTAGACCCAAACTGAGCTCATAACAACGAAGGACTCTGATTAAATTCTTGGCATTTGGGGTTGACCAGTCACCTAGGGAAATCGCATTGTCTACATATTGAAGATGAGACATGATCGATGACTCGGTGTAAATAATTGGAAAGTGTTTTTACTTTGACTTCATTTAGCTTTAAGCTCATTTTCACTATAAAAGGTTTCCATTCAAGTTTTTTGTTATCTTTTTTGCTTTGTACATTCTCATGATAAGAAATAATAGAAAATCTATTGTGTTATCTTTCTTGTTAATTTCTTCCTCAAACTCGTTTATTCTTAGATACTACGCAACAAATTGGTATCGGATTTGGGGTGGGGATTTCAATCAAGTGGGATCGATTTTAGAGAAAATTGGAACGGTGATTCAGTTGCAACCTCATTGAGGTTTATGGATCAAGGAAACGTCTCAATCAATCCAAATCTCCAAATGATTTGATAATGTGAAATAACACTTTCTAATTAGAGAAAGTCACCAATAAGCAATAAAGATTAGAGACAAAAATGCCAAGATTTACATGGAAGTCCAAAATCAAGAAACCCCACAAACAGAGAGCACTGACAGATCCACTACTGATGATGAGAATGTTTGAAATACAAGAAATAAGAGAAATTACTAGCGTTTTCATTTTGATTATAGCTATAAATTATGAGTATATATATATGGGAAATAAAAAACTCACAATTGGCTAAGAAGACTGCATCAATGCTGGAGTATGTGGCTTCTTATTACATCGGATCTTCATACAATCCAACATATTATTCATGACAACTGCAGCTTCTTCACACACGACAGATAATGTTTCTTGTAGCACAGGCCTCTTTGATGCAGAAAGCTCAGTCACCCATCCATCAATCTGCTGCAACAATGAAATCAAGTCACGAGAATCTGATGTGGGAAGCTTTATCAGTAATCCTTCACTTTTGCCTTTCTTAATTTGTGTCATCATTTCCAAAGTGCCATCGCTTTTCAAACGCTGATTGTACCTTCTGCTTCTTAACTTGTACTTTGCCATGATCATTCATCTTCCTCTTGCAGCTCTTCCTTGGTGCATCGACTTGTTCCATATGACGTCCTTGTTTGGTGTCAGTAAGTGCTTTACGCTTCCTTAGCCGAGACCGAATTTTTGCAATAAGTAGCCGTGCAAATACAATATCATTCATAATTCTAATCTCCTGTGGTGTTTGTTTGACATCATCATCATAAATTTCAAACATATATAGATGCCTTCTATAATACAAATGCATATAACCTACTAACTTGTTTTACTAAAAAAAAGTCAAGCAAAAGAAGAAACTCACAAATGGATCGAAAAGGATGAAGTCATACAAGTTGTACTTAAATGGAAAAAAATGAAATGTAATTGCATACAATACATACCTCACGAGAGATCATTATGAAGATGGAACTTTGATCAGAACTATCTACCACATACTTATCGTCTGCTTGCACCTCCAAGTATACCCTTCCAAAGTCCCTCGTTAAAAACTTTACAATCTTAAAGTTAGCAAACGGAAAAGGTTTATCTGACATTAGTCCCATGGATGATGAAATAATCTACAGAAAACATAATGAAAAAACATCATATACATATAGGTTAACTAGTATTTTTCATTGTTGAAACCAAAAATCTTTGTAAGATGCACGTGATAAACAACATCAAGGACAAATACCTGGAGAATTTCCAAGTCAAGTGTCATAAGTTTGACACTTTGTAGCTGCTGAAGCAGAGAAACAATATTAGGAGCATCTGCAGAATACAGGACGCAATTATAGAGATCCACCTTCTCCAAAGAAGGGAAACCTTGTCCTTGTGTGGCAATTAGCTGCAAATGACTAATACAAGGAGGTAAGGCCAGGTGCAGAAATCAGATGCTTCCCGTAGCCATGTATAATAGTGAGATTCTTCAGTTGAGGTGCAACCACATTGACAACCTCCACACCCCAGAATGTCGATTCCAATGTGAGATTAGATAGTTGAGGATGACATATTTTGAAAACCTTCGTTTCACCAATTTTGCAATTTCTTAACTTGAGATTCTTCAAGTTGGGGCACTTGGAGAAAAGATCAATGCACTTATGAGAGACTACTGTGATATTATAAAGATGCAATGTTGTTAAAGCTGGAAGGTCCCAAGCTGGTGTAGCCGAATAAGATGCATTATCCACCAAATCATGCAAATCAAGATGCTGGAGAGAACGAGAACTATAGAAAGAAAGAGGGAATTCAACCTCATTCTCAGGCGACCATGAAACAGTCAGTTGTTGGACATTGTGAGTTAACACATATTCAAGAAATCTTTTAACAAATTCATGGCTAACTCTTCCATCAGAATACAAAAAGACTGAAGACAAGTGAACTTGATAATTGCGATGAGACAGAACATTATTAACAAATTTGGAGAAGTCAGGCGGATAATTAATCCGGATGTAATTTATTAACTTGAGATAGGGCATTGACTTCCAGATAGACTTCCATCTAGATGACAAAACACTCACTCCAATAGCTTGTTCGAGGTAAAGAAAAGAGAGGATTTTATGGATAAGATCATCTGGCAAGCTGCTTAGTCTATCCTCTTCTACATTCATTCTTTTTCGTCCAAAAGCTGCAATGAAACTGCAGATCGAATGCAAATAAAGCCAACCTGAAAAACTAATTTTAATTTAAAAGATCAAATTCTACAATTCGCCATTGCTTCAAACTCTCTACGACCAGAAAAAATTCTAATCGGTTTGACAAATAAGTTTAACGTTTCAGATTTTTTTTAATCGAGAAAAACTACGCCTCAAGTTTTGTTTCCTTGGAAATCAAAAAATTATAACATTGTAAAGTTTATCAACAATAGATTTCTATTTTCAGAACCGATGATTGTTCACGTGCACTGATTTTTTACTATTCGGAAAAGAAAAGGTTCTTAGGATAAACTAGGATATATTTCGTTTTCGATTTCAGTTATCAACCCAATAAAACGAAAATCAGTTCAAACTTCAAACTATCACCAATCTACATGATTGTAAAGCGGTAATCACCCAATCGCAAGTAGAAAACAGAATAAGATATTCAGACAATATGTGGTATATGAATGACGTCCGTAAAAAGATAGCTTTTTCCCCGCAGAAAACCTCTACAGGACCGGATTTTACACAGATTGGATTCCCATGTGTTACTGAGATGATAAATTTATAGGTGCGTGTGCTCGACTGTGCATTGAATCATAATCATGGATCGGTGTAAGTAAAGCCCAACATACAGTCCTTCGCTTATTTTATAGGGTTATGGATATAAAAGAATAAGAAAGTGTCATGGATTTAATTGGTTTTCCGAATTTCTTTTTGGATTTTTTAATTTACATTTTAATTTCTTTTTGGATTTGTTAAGATTTATGGAGTCATGAACAAATTGACAAGTTCCTAAGAGTTCAAGGGCCATAAATGAAACTTGGAAATTAAAACAATTGAATTGTTGAATGGAAGGTGGAATCAATTGTTTAATATTTATTGTCACTATCTCTAATGTGAACGCAACAATTGAACATTTGAATTGGACGCGAACTTTCGGTGGAATAATCAATGGACAGCTAAAGAAAAATTTACGTATTTTTCAATCTTTGCGGCAATCTTGTGCATATTGCGGCTCACAAATATACCTATATATATGCATGTATGTTTTGCATATTTTGTGTGCAAAAACTTGAGAGAACATCAAGTGTAGAGTGTCAAACCAATTGTAATCTTGTGAGTTTTAATAAAATTCTCTAGTTGCAGCCCGTGGATGTAGGATTTGCACCGAATCCGAACCACGTAAAATCCTTGTGTTCTTCTTGCTTTATTTTCGTGAGTTTGTGTGTGTGTGATAGTGTGTTTCCGCTGCGTGTACCCGGTCCGATTTCTAACAACTGGTATCAGAGCCAGATTAGCGAGGTTTGGAGGGTACAATCATTTTTTTTTATCACGCACGAGTGTACCTGATTTGTATCTTGTTTGTCGTAATGGCTGAAGACAAGGTTGTAATCGAAAAGTTCAACGGTTCTGATTTTAGCTGGTGGAAAATGCAATTAGAAGCATTGCTATGTCAGAAAGACTTGGACATGGTACTCGGAGACAAACCGGTTGAGACAGAGGATGAGTCGGTGGTGGGATTAGCCACGACTGAGTTGGAGCTAGTGGGAGCTTCAACTGGCCCTTCTAGTACTTGAAGATGAGGGGCGGCTGCAATTAGAGAAATCAGACTAAGTTTTAGCTTGTTCTTTGGAACTGGAAGCTTGAAGGACTTGGTTGTTTTTTAAGATTACTGGAGTAATTGAGAGTTAGATGGCGGAGAAAGACTAATTTGTTCAAGTCTCCAAGTGGGAGATTGTTAAGATTTATGGAGTCATGAACAAATTGACAAGTTCCTAAGAGTTCAAGGGCCATAAATGAAACTTGGAAATTAAAACAATTGAATTGTTGAATGGACGGTGGAATCAATTGTTTAATATTTATTGTCACTATCTTTAATGTGAACGCAACAATTGAACATTTGAATTGGACGCGAACTTTCGGTGGAATAATCAATGGACGGCTAAAGAAAAATCTACGTATTTTTCAATCTTTGCGGCAATCTTGTGCATATTGCGGCTCACAAATATACCTATATATATGCATGTATGTTTTGCATATTTTGTGTGCAAAAACTTGAGAGAACATCAAGTGTAGAGTGTCAAACCAATTGTAATCTTGTGAGTTTTAATAAAATTCTCTAGTTGCAGCCCGTGGATGTAGGATTTGCACCGAATCCGAACCACGTAAAATCCTTGTGTTCTTCTTGCTTTATTTTCGTGAGTTTGTGTGTGTGTGATAGTGTGTTTCCGCTGCGTGTACCCGGTCCGATTCCTAACACATACAGTCCTTCGCTTATTTTATAGGGTTATAGATATAAAAGAATAAGAAAGTGTCATGGATTTAATTGGTTTTCAGAATTTCTTTTTGGATTTTTTAATTTACATCTTAATTATATTTTTTTAGACCCTACTAACCGGTTATTTGGGATGACGTGGACATTGACTTATTTTTGACTCTTAGGTAAATTAAATGTAATCAATCACGTATACATAGACTGACCCACCACCCATGGGCGGACATAGGGTGGCACGGACAACCCTCAAATTTTATCGTCCGGTGCAAAATTTAGTGTAAAATTCGTTAAAATCCATCACAAAGTCTTTAAAAAAAATATGCAACCTCTGATATTTCTTTCTGCGTCTACCACTACCACCACTACCATCTCCTACCTCCCACTACCGTCCACCAGCATAATAACCCAACTCTAAAAGAAGCCATAGATCCGTGTGAGTTACCCAAGTGCATTGTTTTCCTCCAGCCCTTCGACAACGAATCTACAATCCCACCTGTCATTTCTTGTGGCCACTCTACATGCGATACATGCTTGATCGACCTTCTAAAGCCACCCTTCCCTTGTATCATACGTTGCCCAACTTCTCAGCTACCCAAGGTCATTTTATCCACCATATGCATATCATCATTGCTAGACTTCATACCTAACTTTTGGTCTCATGATTTTTACTATAATTAGAAGTACTAATGGGTCGTTCCACGAGACACGATTTTGGTCGACGTGAGTGTAGCTCTTGATGAGTCTTTTTTGCTTGAAAGGGTTATAAATTTGAAGGCTTCTTCTGGGCCTTCTTGTAACACCCGGTTCCTGGTATGTATTTAAAATTATAAGTTGTTCATTTTTGTACAGGAACTCGACGAGTTGGAGGCCCCAAAACTCGTCGAGTAGAGATGGATTTGGACGCGGGTTATGAAGTCTACTCGACGAGTTGAGAGCATCAACTCGATGAGTAGGCCTGGCAGAATGAAACTTTCCGAATCGATTCCTAGTTCGAGGTTGTGGCCCGAAGATCGGTCATCATAAGGATTAGGCCTTTTGAAAAGGTAGGATCTAGGCCCATTTGGGGTGCGGGTGATGTATTAGAAGTGATATGGGTGTTCGGTTCGTGTTTTGGAGCCTAGGGGTATTTCGGTAAAGTGGCAGTTTGGGCTTTTGTGGAAAATGGACTTTTGTTCGGAAGGTCTTAAGGAAGGTATGAGTTGATAGAAGTGTAGGACTTCTCGTCACCTTTCCGTGGATATAAGGATCGTCAGAATCGGGTTTATAACGAAGAAGTTATGGCCTTCGGAAGTTTCGTGGTTTTCAGGCTTAGCCGAGTACGCGGGGCGTACACAAAGCGTACGTGGGGAGTACTAGTGAAGAAGGCAGTACGCTGGGCGTACCTTGAAGTACACTGGGTGTACTGACCAGGATGATCGTGAAGGTTCCCAGGAGTATGTTGGGCGTACCATATGTACGCTGGGCGTACTCCAGTCAGATCAGAACCCTATTTTAGGGTCTTGGACCCTATTTAAGCCCCTTATCTCATAACCTAACCCTAATATCTTCAGCCTCCACCCCCTCTAAACCCTAGAAATCGTCATATATCATCCATGGTGGCATTTGGAGCTTATGGAGTCCATTTTTGGGGTGTTTGATCCATTGTCAAGAAGATAGAGCTTGATGCAAAGATGGGAATCAAGGAGGAGCTTATGGATCTGGCTTTTAGGACTCATTCTCAGCTTGATGAAGGTATAAAGCTTTGAACTTGATCATTCATCTCTTAGATCTACCATTTTTGGTTTTTGGTTCCTTTTTGGTCCCAAGGATGAAGCTTTATGGTACAATCTGATTCTTGGACTTTGGGTTGCCACCTTTGATGCTATTTGAGTCCCTATGATAGAAAGTTGCCATCTTGAAGGTCTTAATGGGTGCATGCATGAGTTAGGGTCACTTTTATGGAAGTAGAATGCCATTTTTGGAGTTTGGGTTTGTTTGGGGCATGCAAAGTCACCAAGTCAGTGACTTTATGGGTTTAGACGTTAAGTATAACTCAGATCTATGATTTGGATTGGTGGGATCAAGTATTAAGCACTTAATGGATTTTGTACATGAGTTGTTTGTACGTTGGGCGTACTATGTAGTACGCTAAGCGTACAGAAGAGGTACATTGGGCGTACGCTCTCAGGAGGACTTGGGCCTTAGTGGACTTCGGACCTTTGGGCCCTAATGGTTTTGGGCCTGGATTTGCGGTTTGTTGGGCCTGAATGTATCTTGGGCCAATATTAGAATAGTTGGGCCTATTGGGCCTTGTGTCCCAATATAGAAATGGACTTCACATTTGTGGGCCTCAGTTTGGGCCAATTCTTGGATTAGTTTGTTGTGGGCCTTTGTGGGCCAATTGGGGGCAGGGTTATTGACTAAGGAGAATATTGGGCTTTAGGATAAGGCCCATTAGAAAGGTCCGAGCCCAATTTGGAAAATTGGGCCATTGATGGTTTTATGGACATTATAGTGTTGGGCTTTTGTTTTGGGTTTGGGCCTTAGTTTTGGATCATACTGGGCTAGGGGTAGAATGGTTATTTTACCCCATGCACGGATTAAGGATTATGGTATGGGACCCAATTGCTAATTGGGTATATTGATTGGTAGTGACAGCTCGGGAAGCTGGCGGGGCAGCAGCTAAGGAATTCATGCGGGAAGCTTCTGCAGTGCG